CGCGGCCGAGCGCCACCCGCGCAGCGGCGGCGCGCCGCCCCCTCGCAGGCGGCGCGGCAGCCTGCGCCTGCGGCCTGCCGCGCGGCGGCCCGCCGCGCCGAGCGCCGCGCCGCGCGCCGCGGGGCGGCTGCGTGCGGGGCCTTCCGCGCAGAGTCGGCCTGCTGCAACCATCTATCGGGAAGGTGAGAACGACATAAACGGTAAGTCGGGCGTGTCCCCCGCTACAGGAGGCATATTCAGAAATGATTAGAAATAGTCTGGGGGCGCTTCTTAGGACTGTTTTTCATTCTGGGGGGGTATTTTGTTGACTATGCTCAATGCTGCATGCGACATCCCCCTGCGGGAGGCCATGCCCGACCTGACACAAGCGTGAACTTTGGGAGGTCCGCGCGGAGTTCCTGGGTCGGCGGTGGATCCCCTGATGGGCCGATTTTCCACCACCACGACCGTAGGTAGTCAGGAGAGGAGGGAGGAGGAGGAGGAATAAGAGGAGGAGGAAGAGGAGAAGGAGGAGGATGATCTCCCCATCCTCCCTTCTCCCCAGTCCTACCTATGGTAGTGGTGGTGGAAAAATTGCCCATCATCCCCGTGCGGCGCCTCCAGCGCCGCTCCCGGCGCGCGGAGCGAGCTGGGGGGAGGGGGCCCCAGCTCCGATCCAAGCACTCCGCGCAGACCTCCCGGGGTTTGAGCTTATCCGGTGGTGCATAGAGGGGGCCCTGAGGGATGGGGTCCTTGGGACAAGGCAGGGATCCAGGGGCAGATTTGCACTGCTGGAGGCTCCTCGTCCTCAGGACCCCATCCCTCGGGAACCCCTCTTCGAACCACCGGTTTGTCTATTCGCTCGCCCCCTGAATCCGTGGGGGCGCGGCCGCGGAGTCCAGGCGGCGGGCCCTGGATGCTGACCCAGGCCCGGCGGCCCGGCGCCTGCGGCAGGCAGCCTTGCAACCTGCGCGGTGTAGCCTGGCGCTTGCGATTGCGCGCATATCGGGGACAAGCGCCCAGCATCGCCCGCACCGCGCTCGGTACTTGGTGTTCCATGGCGCCCAGTCGCCCGAGATCGCGCCCCCCAGAGGGCGCCCACAGCACCCGCTGTGCGCCAGTATGAGGGAGGCGCATTGCGTCCGTTGTGCGCACGACTGGCCGGTGTTGGACGCGCTCTTGAGCGCCATGGGCTTGGCATCGCTCGGACGTGTGCATTTTTCCTTCGGCGAGGACCATCGAGGAGCATCCTTGATCATTTCGCTGTGCAACCGTGAAGCCAGCGGGTCCAGGGGTCCGTCGCCGCTGCCCAGGTCCAGGGCCCTCCACGGGCCCCGCGGGACCGTCAAACAACGACTCGGGATGAAGGATGTGCCTTGGGTGAACGCCCTTTTCCTCCTCCCCCTCTTTGTTAGTTCAAGCTTCGCGCGGCCCGCTTAGCTTCGACCGGAAGAGGTGCGCTCTCGACGCGCGGATCAAACATGGTTTTTTGGGTGAACGCCCTGGGATCCAGGATCCGAGGAACAAATAATGATAGAAACATGTGAATATGATGCCTCGGAACGGCGCTGGACCCCCTCCCTGGCGCGCGGGGCGCGTCCGGGGTGGCGCCGGAGGCGCAGCCAGGAGGCTCCAGCGCCGATCCGAGAAATCCGCGCGGACCTCCGGAAGTGGATGTCTATGCGGTTATCTATTTCCCTGAGGACCCGTGCTCCTCAGCACCCAGCTCCTCCATGTCAGGCCCGCCGCGCCGAGTGCTGCGCCGCCGCCATCCCAGCATTGTTTTTCGATTTCTCAGGAGCGAAGAGAGGACGTATACTCGTCGGCGAAATCCGAACCCTACGTTTTCCGCTCGAGGATTCAGGCAACTCGATGCGCGTGGGGATAGGGCTTGGCGTTCGTCGGGCACGCGGCCAGGTCCGAACCCTGCCCCCCGCCTCCCGTCGAGTAAGGCGAGCCGATGGCTGGCGGGAGTAGCGTTCGGATGTCGCCACCTACACACGTACCCAGACCCCCCCGAGTTATGAAAACTTCACGACGGGAGGTTTTTCATTATTTTTGGCCTCTGGGGGCCCTTACCGGCCCTCGGGACCGTCAAAAAACGACTCAGGACGAAAAACCGGTCCCGGGGAATGGGTCCAGACAGCTGGGGGTCGACGTCATGAAAAATTCACGACGTCGGGGGTCTGGGTACATGGATCCACGTTGGTTTCGGGAGTACACGCACGTGGTTTGGCGCGCGCGTCCTTTGTCGGCTCCCTAGCTTCGTCCTCCAGGGCCCGTTGGAGAGACCGTGCTTTTTTTTGTCCCACTGGAGATCACGGGCGTGACTGGCGGGTGCGGGGTAGGGGGGTGGAGAAGGCCGGTCACGTCACGATTCGCGCCTGCGCCGTCTCGGAATGCTTGAGAATAGCTGGTTCCAGCACAGTCCCAGCGCAAGTCGTGACGTGATCAGCAGGGGGGGGGGCGGGTCTGGTCAGGGGCGCGATCGCGAATAAGCGAACAATTGGTTCTTGTCGGGCCCAGGGGCCATCAAGCACGGATCTGGAACGCGACTCTACGCACCCCGGGGTCAAGGGCTCGGGACTTTTTGGGCCGTGGACGGGACAGATCATGTCGGAGGATGGTTGGGCATGGAGGGGGCGGCCTCTCCGAAGGGCGGAGGGCTCCGGAGGAGGCGGGGGGCCCTGGCGGCTCCCGAGCGAGCCATCTCGGAGGCCTCCTGGCCCTCCCGAGAGATGGGGCGGCGAGATCTGTACCCGTCCACTGCCCCAGGCCTGGCCCGCGCTGGGCCCTGGGGAGCGGCGCAGACGCCCTCCCGGCTCGGCCAGGCGAGGGCGCCGCTCTCTGGGGCCCAGAGGGGGCCAGGCCCGGGGCGGCGGGTGCGGGGGAGGCCCACGCCAAGAGATGCCCGGCATGCCTCCAGGGTGCCTTGGGGGTGTCCTGGGTTCCGCTGGTTTTGCGGTGGGGGAGCGCGACGCTCCCACACCACACATCCATGGACGTCCTGGGGTCTCAGGTCCCTGTGGAAGGTCTCTTGTGCACTGGCCTCCACGGGATGTGTCGATCTCGTCGCCCTCCCGAGAAGGCCCCTTCTCATGGGCCCTCCCCGCCGTCTGGGAGAGCCGCCCCGATTCCTTCTCCTCCTCCTCCTCCTCCTCCTCCTCCTCCTCCTCCTCCTCCTCCTCGTCACCCCCTCCCCCTCTTAGGCGCGCGCCGCCAAGACTTTCGCGGAGGTCCTGGTGCAACTCCTGGGGCCCGCCACACATATATGTACACAGACACCCTCCAAGGGATACCCATCGGTCGCTGGGAACAGAAAGTGCTGGAATCCCAGATTCCAATCTACTTTAAGCGCCATCCTACTTCAATGATCAAGTGGCTTCACCTTACCCTTCCTCTTTAAGGAGCGGGCGGAAGCCCAATCTATTTCAAACCTTTCCTACTCCATGTTTCTACCTACTTCTTCCGACCGATGAGTAACTCCTGAGCGTCAGGGGAGAGTGGCGGTGTGCACATCAAACGCGATTTTATACACCGCCACCCTCCCTCAAGGTACATGCTAAGCTCGAAGGAGGGCGTCTGTGCATGTACATATATCTATATATGTATATATATATATATGTGTGTGAAGCATCATACTATATATAGAGGCTTGAGGCGTATTGGAAGCACGATTCGGCATTGGCGCTGACAGATCCGTGTTCAACGAACGGCCCAATTCGGCACAGGCCCGCTAGCTGCGCCTGATCTGGCTCAATCCGGCTTCACTCTGGGTCCCATCCGGGCCAATCCAGCCCAGGGGCCTTTCTAAAGTTTGTGTGATAGCCCCATACGTGTTCGGTCTTGCGAAGACCCCTCCGAGGCTGCCTCCTGACCCCCTGCCTTCGTCGAAGGCCGCCCTGCTCGCGCCAGCCTCTTGTGCGCGCGCCGCGCCCGACATCGTGGGCGAAGGACAGATCCGTATCTCCGCGGCCTCGTGGGCTGTGTGCCCCTAGATGGGGTCGGGGTAGATGGGGTCGGAGGATCGCGCCGCATCGCCGATGCAACGGCGATGCGGCTCGATGTGGAGGCCGATTTTGTTCCCACGCTGGCGTCGCCGATGCATCGCCGATGCATCGCCGATGTATCGGCGATGCGGCGCGATCCTCCGACCCCATCTACTCCGACCCCATCTAGGAGGCCTCTACGTGGACTGGGCCCCTTGGCCCTGCCCCCGCGGAGGCGGAGCGTTTTTCGGGCGGATGTGCCCCGCGCGGAACGCTGCCGCGCGAGCACGTAGCCGCGGGATCGCGCCCCGGAGTCCAGATGGCGAGGGCGCGCACACCCAGACGTCCGACGTTTCAGTGTGTTCGATGCATGGGCCCTGGAGGTTTGGACCACTTCCCTGAAGCCAGTGTTCCGTCATGGGACGTTGTTTGGCCGCCCCGAGGCCCGCCCGTGGAGGCCGAAGGTGGCCAAAGACGGGCCGCCCCAATATGTTCGGGGCATCGGATCTCTGGGTACGGCCACCGTTCGTCGCTCGTGAGTCGGCCACGCACAGGGGGGGGGTAAGGGGGAGGGGGGCAGGCCTCTTAGAAGCACCCCTGCTTCTCTCAGAAGGCGCGGGCCTCTGTCTTCAGATGTAAGGCCGGAAGCGTTTCCCCCCCCCTCCCCACCCCTGCCCCCCTCTGCGCGCCGCCAAGTGATGGTGCGTGCGCCGCCCGACACCGACGGAGGCGAGGGCTGCGGCAGCGCCACAGCAGCCGCCCGGCGTCCCGCGGCTCGCGCGCGGCCCGCGGCGCGAGCACCGCGCGCCCTGCGTACGCGGATTCGCCCGCGGGTGCGGCGGATGCCCGAAGGGGAGGCGGCCCGCGGCGGCCTGCGGGGCCGGCGCTGCCGGACAAACTCGGCGCGCACACTCTCGAGCTCAAGCAGTGGGCGAAGCGTCCTGGCGCGCTTACAGGCCCACCGAAGCATGTTCTAAGAACCTCTTGTTGCCTGCACGAAATGTTCTTAGAACATTTCTGGCTGAGACTGTC